ATATTCAGGTATAATTTTGGTCTTCAGTTATCAGAAATATTACATATTATGATTTTTATTAAAATGTAAAAGTGGCCAACCGGGCAGACGGGCAAATAAAACAGCCCTTTGCTTAATTTGTGTAAGTTATCCTATAAAGTCACAAACATTTTTTTTATCTTAGCCTTTGATAAGTCATATTGTTATAATTTAATTTATTTTGTAATCGAAATAAAACACACTATTATTATAATTACTATAAAACTTCTATGACAAAAAATGAAATAAATTATCTAATGGATATATCGAACGATGAAGAGACGTCTTCTCATCGGTGGAACAAGGAATGACGTCATAACGATATCAGTTTCGTTACGTCATTGCTGGCCATCACTTACAGTAGAGCACCATCAGTGCCTTATGCAAGCACTTAATAAACTCTTCCATTTCATCCGATATAATAATATCCATTATAGCATTTTCCTAGACCGATTTCAGATTTATATAATTCCATCAGATATTGCTGAGATTACAGCATTCCTTTTATTGATGTCTAGCCCTAGGAACTTATAAAATTAAGATCAATTTATCTAATGAAACACGAGCAAGTAATAAAATACTTGAGGCTAGCTCTAAACTACATGAAGTACAAAATTGAATAGACTTGAAATAACTGAGGCTTTGTCACGCTATGGATAATACAATTTAATAAATTTTATTCAGGATTTATCAGATTTAAATAAATTAAAAAAAAAAAAATATACTTTTTCTGTTAGGTATCTAAACAATTAATCTTGAAGAAACAAATTGGCTGAAATCACTAAACTTTTTGGAGTTAGAGTTAAGTTTAACCCTCAAACTGTAACACACGGGTCAATTTTGGTGTATCACGCATATAATTAATCCTTCTTATGCCTACAAACTTCTCCAATTTAAGTCCTCAATCCATTCCCCCACCACAAGATCTCGACCTTCTGACCTATATACAGCTTCTCATAGATTTGCCTCATTCCAAAACTCCTTTATAGCCCGCTCTGTCAACTTTTGGAATTCTCTCCCGATCGAATTAGGCATGCCCCCTTCCTATACACATTCAAAAACCTTCTATTCCAATTCCTGTTCCAAAAACAGTCAGATACCAGCTAACAATTAACACTATATATGTATTGCGTAGCAATTTCCTACTTTCGACGTAGGAATTTCAATACATCTATTTTATTTTTTAAATATTTTTTTTATTCAATTATAATTAACTTTTATATATAACTATATATATATATATATATATATATATATACACACAAGTAAAGTTTTTTTATGAAATGAACTTATTATATCTCTTTTTCGTTCTTCATTTCTTAAAGTGTATGTTTATGTTGTTCAACCATTATATATAGTTTTGTTCATAGTTTTAAGTGATCTATTCATAGTTTTAAGTGTTTTGTACAGTTTTTCTGTATTGTATATAGCTTGTTCACCTAAGGTTTTCTTTACTTTTTAGTTTATTCTGTCAATTTTATTTATTGTTTCAAACTTTTAGGCCAGTAGTATTCTATTCTTTTGTACAATTTTGTTATTCTAAAGGGACTTAGTTCCAGAATAAAGTGTTTTTTTCTATCTATCCATCTAATACTAAGATTTCCCCACCAAATTCAAGATACCATCCTATCCAGTGTTGAACTAATTGTCTTCAAAGTGGTTATATTCTGGTAAGTTTCATTGTTAATCTACTCGCAATAATGCACGTCCTTTTAGAATATTGGAAATATAACCTTACAGTAAATGTAAAAATATTTTTATTATTTCAGTAGTTCAATTTTATTTTATTTTTTTTAATAATTTTTAGTCTTGCTTCAAAATCGACAGCGAATTGTTATTTACCATTCAAGAAGAGTTTTTTAATGAAATTCGTCACGAAGAAAAAAAATCTGATAATAAAGCGAATTAATGTTTTGATAATTCGAACTCAGAGACAGAAGATCGGCGAAATACCCAATGATGACAACATAAACGAATTATTTGATGCGAATGCACTTTGCAAGACCAATACCAACACCACCTATCTGTTGCAAGACCAAGACCAAGACTGGTAAAAAAAAATCGAGAAAATAGTTACTATTACTTGAGAATTTTAGTTATTATATACAAAGAATTGGTGTAAGCAATATACTATTGCATTTAAATCTTCTAATTTTTCATTCAGACTTAGTTAGGTTTCTCATATCTAAAATATTACAATAATATCTTTCTAGTGATAAAATAATATAATAGGTAACTGCAAGACTGTTACGAGAATCTTGCGCAAGACCAAGACCTAGACCAAGACTGAGATTGCAAGACCAAGACTCGTCGCGGTCTCGCATTTGGGCAACACTAGTCCTAAGCATGAAGTAAAAGGTGTATACCACAGGTGGTATCCAAATTTTATGTGGAGAGCATAACATTTTTGTGCGGACAAATTGTTATGAAGAAGACTAAATTATGAGATATTTTATTATATATTTGGAAATTTAATGTATTTCATTAGTATTTTATATTAATTTTTACTTTGTGTTGTACTTCAAGAACTTTTTAATGGTTGAGTTTTATGTTTGTTATTGTTTTCAGAAAACTACTTAAGTAATAAATATTACAATATATATATATTATGATGTTATTTATCCCCAAAATCTATATAATAGCATACAAATGAGAGGGAATTATTGTCGGGACAGATTTTCCCAGCGTTAATGTTACTGTTTCACTCTCGAGTGTTACCATTAGAGGGTTAAAAATTATCATTATATTTTTGTAGAATAGATACATCAGTTACTTAGGTATTAATATGAGATTCCATGACTATTTATATAGGTACATAAATATAACGTTAGTAAAGACATATGAAGTTCTTTGAGCTATTAAATTTAAACGATACTTACTAACTTTTTTCAGTAACTAAAGTAATCGTTTTAAAGTCAGTAATACTAGGATATTGCCTTTTTTGAAAGACTATTTCAGAACATGTTGGAATTAGGTGCTCCATGGTAACATCCCTTAATATATTCTTTATTTTTAAAAACCTCTAGATTATTTTTTTTGTAATCAAATGATATTTAGTAACGTTTCACACTAGTAAATAGCTATTCACAGAAAAATAACTGTTGTGCTTATTCCATAAACGACCCACTAAGACAAAGTACTGATATTGGGAACAGTTAAAATCTGTGAAATCACACTTTATGGGGCCATGAAGTTTATTCGCGTGTGCTAAGTTCCGGGTTTCTCGATTTACACACCTATCTTATACCTTCGTATTACCGTTGTATTTGGGCCCTGCAAGTCGTAAAACTGATTTAGGAATTCGATAGATTAGACTGAGATAAAGCTTAAATTTAAAGAACAGTATTTTTTTTTTTTTAAAGCCTTTAATAAATGGTGTTTATGATGATGAAAACTATTGTTATATTACTTTTAAATATCTCGGCTTTATAGTAACTTCAATGAACTATCAGAGGTAAGAAATGAACCAGTGCGAAAGGAGCTTTCTTCTCTTTATCAAAGATATTGAAATCCTAAATCGAAATATGTCATTTTTTTAGAGTATATATAATAGAGTATAATATAATTATATAAATAAGCAAAGGCAAAACATTTCATTTCCTATCTCTCCTTTGTTTCTCAATCAATTTTTTCTTTTTTTGTTTAATACCTATTGACGAGCTTTAGTGTTATCAATAAAAAAATACGAAACAGTGTATATAGATAAAGATATAAATTTTAGTTTGTTGAAAACTGCTAATCTCCAAAAGTTCTTCACCAATTGCTTTGAAATTCTGAAGCAAAGTTGCAATCAAAGTCAGGTGTTTTATAAACATCTCATTACCATCTGGCCTTTTGTTCGCGAATAACTAAAAGTACGCATTCTTTGGTTCATTAAAGCCATGAAAGGGATTTGAAAGTTTGCTAAATTTTATAAAAAAAAACGAAAGAAAAAAAAAACGCCCGGGTAAATTCAGCTGGAGTCGACAAACTGAAATGTTTTTGCATATGGATTAAAATATGACAAAAACTAAAAATCGGACCAGCATATTGTTAGCGTGGGAAATTGTTGATCTTTTCATCCTCTTTGTAATAAGCTATTATACAAAATTATATTTTAACGCAACGCCGTGTTAGAGAGGTGAAAAGGAAAAAAATAGTGTCGAAAACCAAATGATAACGAGTTTTATTGAAGATATGAATTAATATATCTCAGAAACTAAAAATTGGACCTGCATACTGCAAGGAAAGGAAATATTCAGCATTTCATCCTCATTGAAATGAGCTATTACTCAAAATCTTATTTTAACGCGAGGCCGTGTTAGAGAGGAGAAAAGGAAAAAAATAGTGTCGAAAATCAAATGATAACGAGTGTTATGGAAGATATGAATTAAAATATCATATAAACTGAAAATCGCAAAATCGCACCTGCATACTGTTAGCGAGAGAAATGTTCATTTATATTTCAAATTATTAAAATCACCTTGTTGATGATTTCACTTCTATCGTTTGATCTGAAGCACAAACCCTAGTTTTTTTATTTAATCGTTTGAAGTCCTATACTACCCCTTTGTTATATTATAAAAGAATGATGGTATAATTTTTTTTTTAAGTCCGTTTTAGATTCCTGTATAAATTTGCACGACTTAATAATGTACCAATCTAAATCTGTCAGACCTTGAAGGACGTTATTGTTAAGATTTCTTTTCGATTTGATATATCTAATGAGCGTCACCTTCGGTTTATTTGCGACCAAACTAGATCAGTACCAAGACCAAATACATATCTATTACATACATATCTATTACATACAAATACATCTGTTCAAAGTTAATTATTTGCACAATTTTTTTATAAAACTAATTATTAACCATTGGAGTTTGATAAGATTTGATTAAAACTTGTCCCCTAAGGCTTCTTTTGACGTCACAGTTCAGTTTCAGTTACTCCGACAGGTGACAGAACAAGGTGTGACATGACCTCTATAGGAACACTTCGCGGCAATGGCACTAGAGGGAGGTGACGTAACCAGCCCACTTGTACAACACATCTCTGTGTCCAACTGGGTCAGTAGTGGTAATTGTTCTCGGCCATTTGTATAGCAGTCTGTGGAGGGAAGCTAGCAGTCCAATACCTACTAGTGCACTGCAAAATCGTTAACAAATTTAACAAAATAATTTTATCTACTTCAGGTATACTCAGGGCCGAAAAATATAGTAAACTTCATACCTATATTTTATTGTATTAATTTTATAATGATAGACAGTTCTACACGTTAACCGGAGCTATCTCTGATCAAAGTACTAACACATGGAGAAGAGAGACTAATAAAGAACTGCTTACAGAACTTGGTCAATCAATATTCCATGATATGAAGGCACAGAGGTTAAGATGGGCAAGCCATGTAGCTCGTAGTAATTCATCTGGAAGCCTCTACGTAACAATGAATGCCTCAATAGAAGGCAAAAGACGATGTGGAAGCATGTAGACAGAATCAACAAAGATGTAATAGATCTGCGTGCTGGTATAACTGAAAAGGAATAGCCTAAGAGATGCTGAGATGGACCAGGCTTGTTAAGCGGCAAAAGATCTACATGGACTTAAATGCTAACAGAAAAAAAAATATATATATCATATTTATCACCAGTAAACTTTTTTCTTTAGAAAATTTTTTTTAATTTATTTGTATATAGGTATGCATGTGTTTTTTTTTTTTTCTTAGTTTTAATTTTCTTATTTTTTAGGTTATTTTATTTTATTGTCTATTGTATATACTTTTGATTATTATTTTGTTCTATTTATTTTATTTTTTTTGTACATATGGTGTGAATGTCATCCTACCTCACTATAACCAATGTCCAACAGACAGATTGTTATAATACTCAATAAAGAAATTAAAAAAAAAAAAAAAAAAATTATTTATTTTCTATTAAATTTTTCACTGCGTTGTAACGCATCAAGCAAATGTGTTGGAGTTTATTCTAACTTCTTGTATTCTTGATAATTTCTTAACTTGCCAGCAGAAGATCTCTAGGCCAGTGCCTTTTTAGTCGTCGTTGTGGCTCACCAGGTAACAGGGAAAAAGATAGAGATAGAACGAGTGGATGGTTGAGAGAAGAAGAATGAAATGTTGTTTATTTGTTGAGTATGTAGGATTTTTCTTTCGGTATGTTCATGTCTGTATGTATGGTGTGATTTGAAATAAACCAAGGAGCATTGACGATTTTACGAAGTATTTTGGATTGTGTGGTTTAAATTTTGTTTATGTGTGTGTATTTTGTGGAACCCCAAATAGGTCCCTATGTCCAAATAGGTCTTAGTATGGTGGTGTAGATTAGTTGCTTGTTTAGTAAGTTGAGTGGAGACCTGTAGTCCAAAAGATGTGACAGTTGTTTGTACCGTCTGGTCAGTTCTTTTTATTTTATTTTTTATAAAATACTACAATACTTTACTGGTCATTAATTGTTCTTTAATTTTATTTGTCGAATTTCTTTATACACATGGCAAAAAAAGGTTGAATACAATCATAACATAGCAACACCCGATGATCAATATTTTGAGAGATAATTTACAATTATGGATTTTTTTTTCTATTGACTACCAACAAACGGCTTTCATTGATTATATAATATTTGAAATGAAATTAAAAAAAAAAAAAATTTATTCTGTGACTACAGTCCCTTAAGAATAATAACAGAGTTACATAAATATGAGCATTAGTCTGGCTTAGAGTATACAAAATAATGCCTAATTAATTGTTAATTGAAATTGTGTAGTTGATTGAATTATAAAGTATACGGACGTATGTAAATTTTACATGTTTGCCGAAGTTGAATATGGAGTAGGTGGTGGAACAGGAGTTGTTTGAAGTGTGAACGATGATTGACGTATGGGGTTAGGTAGAGAGTTCCAAAAGGAGGTAGCACGAATGACTGATTTGCTGAAGGAAGTAGTTTAATGGGAAGGAATATATAAATTTATAGGTTGAGACCTAGTATTGATAGAGTGGATAGAGGAACTTAAAGTGGAGTTCTAGGATGTAGGGAGGGTTTCTGGTTCTGAGGACTTGGAAAAGAAAAACACCATGAAGGAATAGCCGTCGGCAGGTAGGATAAAGTCACTTCAGCTCGGTGTACCAGAAGAAAACTCGAGAATACATTTATTTTTCCAGAACTTTTTTTCTTTTTTTCAGTGAAACCTTTTTAATTCTCCCCTTTCTGGGATTTAGGAAGGTTGGTCCGAGAGATGTTTTCAAATGCCAGAATGTATTAAATAAAAGTCACTCCTGAGTTCTTAAGGCAGTATGTTTAGTTTTAACAGTATGTTAATTTAACATTACTTTCCATGTTGCTTTAAGGAAAATAAATGAAAAGAGATTTAACATTTAAAAGCCTATATGGGGCTCTACTAAACCATCAAATTCCTCTCGTATCCAATCCCTACAATCCAAAATCCTTTACGTTCCCTACTTTTCACAAATAAAATCATCCATAACGACATTAATGTACCATATTTTTCCGATTTAGCTCAATCCAGATACCTATTATTCCATAATAAACTTCTGAACCATCCGAACCCTCTTGTTTCCAATCTTGCTTCCTCTTCTATTCCTGATAACCCTCCGAAGCTTCTGAAAAGAAGATGGCCTCGGGACCTTCTAATATAGAGATGTAATTGGAGTGCTACCAATGGATGGCTTCTTTTCATGTTGTACATGTCAAGTTACTTATTTCATATTTACTAGTTGTATTTATCATTATACAGTTGTGAATTTCAATAATAAAAATTTAAAAAAATATAATAAAAAAACAATAGCCTACAAATTTTTTTTTTTATGATCAACAATTTGCTTAACCTAACAGACTACATTGCTGCAGCTGATGCAAAACATTCCAAAATCAAAAACCAACAAAATATTTAAGTTTTGCAGTAGAACATATAAAACATATTTGGAACACCATATCTTTGCTCCAATTTGTCCGATTTGAACGACTTTTTTTATTTTTCAGTAAAAGTCGTAAACTTTTAAATAACCATAAAAAAGTGTATACAACATAAACAAAAAAGTTTATACTTCCTGAGTAATTCGGAAATTTTACCATCCCTCGTGACTTCTTCCAGCTTCTTTTCGTTGAACTAAGTTATATAGATAAATTTAAAGGGCATCGAGAAGAAGATTGTAGCCAAGTTTCATTGAAATTGGTATATTCGTTTAGGCGTTACAGTCTTTACTAACAAGGTTTTTCGGCCGCCATCTTGGAAGGAAAGGGCGGATAGTAATATCGAGGTAGGATGATCATTCTCGGGTGACTTTTAACTTCGATTCCGAATTTGAAAAAAAATTGTCCAGCAATCTAGGGAAAACGCGTGCACGGCAAAAAAATTTGTATTCACTTTTCGATTTCTACGTATTCTGAAACGTGAAACCTAAAATTTTGAGAGAGAGGGGTTAAGTCTTAGAATTTTTGACGATGATAATGGTTCATTATTGAAAATAATAAACCAAAATGATTTAACTAAAAAAAATAAGGAAGAGAATATAAACTAATTATTTAGTTAATCATTTGTTTTTGTTTTTTTTTCAGTTTTTCTACAATTCTTTTTACTTATCAATTGCTTCTTAATGTATTCATTAGAATAATGATAAATCAAATAATTACCTAAAACGAGTTTTAAATATCCAATATAAAAGATTGAGGAAATAACGATTTAAAAGAAAAGTTGAACTGTTTTAATTAATGGCTAAAAATAAAACATTTCTTGTTAGGAACATAAAAGTGCTTATATATCAAAGATAAGTTCAAATTACGCTTCAACAGATAATGAGGAAAAAGTTTTATAAAATCATGGCTCTTTTGTAAACTCTTTCTTTCCTTAATGAAGTCATTAAAATTTACTTGTCGCATCCATCCTTGAACTTTGCGACTTAATATTTATTAAGTTTTAATACTTAAATCTTTAAAGTCTACTTACTTTCTTCATAGAATTATTCAATATATTAACAAAAATACTTTGAATTTTTATTATGTTTATTTAAATATTATTATATTATATTTCGTCAAATTATTATGTTATAATGGCGACATGTTAATACTGCAGACATTTGGAATATTCTTGTAGTTACAACAGATTAGATATTAGATATCACACAGGAGTATCCAAGCTATATCCCGCGGGTCGTATACGACTAGAAAAATACTATTTGATTACATATTAAAATGATTTACAAAATATTAAATTGGTAAATATACTAAATGGCTGTGGATAACAAAGAATTCCATCACTGCTTCGAGGGCTTAAAATATTGGATACTCGACTTTGACGAGTGGACCAATAAAGGTACAAATGGAGGATCAACTTTTTTTATTATTATTATTGAACTTTACAACTGTATTAAATGATAAATACAACAAGTATATATGAAACAAGTAACATGGCATGTGCAACATGAAGAGAAACTAGCCATGGGTAGCACTCCAATTATATTTCTATATTAGAAGGTCCCAAGGCCATCTTCTTTTCAGACGCCTCGAAGGGTTATCAAGAATTGAAGAGGAAGCAATGTTGTAAACAAGAAGGTTCGGATGGTTCAGAAGTTTATTATGGAAGGATAGGTATCTGGATTGAGTTAAATCGGAAACATGGAAATTGAAGTTCGTAATGGATGATTTTATTTGTGACAAAGTAAGAAGCATTAAGGATTTTATGAAGGACTTTGGATTGTAAGGATTGGATACAAGAGGAATTTGATGGTTTCGTAGAGCCCTAAGGCTCGAGGATCAAAATAAGTTTAAAATCTCCTGCTTAGAGAGGACACTCGGAATGGTACCCGCTTTAGCCTCCGATGTTTTTGCTCAGACAGTGACTTAGGAAGAGAAAGCCGGGAAGTGATTAACAGTGACAGATTAGTTACACCGTGACCTTGTCGCCGTTAGTCACGGGTCGCATAACTGTTCCACGGTAGTTCCAGTTACAAATATTTATATAAATTTCTCAGCTGGATATATCAGATAATGTGTTGGCTTTAATTGGGTTATACCGTTAAAATGCGTTCCTATCATTTAAAGCAACTTTCAGAAAAAAAAAATCTTGAAAAATAAAATAATTACTGAGAAATATCCTAATTTAATTCATTAAAATAATTATAAAAATAACTTTTAACCGTCTAATAACGTTATATATACATTTTTTATATTTTATTTTATTTTTTAAAATTGCTATATCCATACCTGTCACATCAAGGTTATAATAGATGTGATAAGTACAATAAAAGGGCTAAGTTGCTCATCGGCTGCTGGGTAATAAACACAGCATACTTATCAATCAATACGATAATAATTTTAACAAACACAAAAAGGATAAAATTTTTACGGGCCTACCGTCCTAAATACCCATTGCTATTATGTTTTCTTTTATTTCTTTCCCTTTCTGTCTCTATAATTTATGAACCAAAAGCCAAAATTATTTTTGGTTGTGAAAGAGGATTCC